TAAATGTTTAAGATTTGGAAAACCCGCAAAAGTTCATAGTCATTCAAATTGTTTATTCCAAAAACAATGCATATGGTAATTTTATCGAAATTCATTCTGTAATCATTATAATTTACATGTTGCTGTTGTTGTTCACGTACAGCGCGGCTAACTTAAATCCCTTCAATCTTTCGTACTTAACTTTTGCAGCAAATCGCGGGATAAAAGTTTCTAAGTTTATTTAGGCTTGGTGGCAGTTATATGCTGAAAGGATTTTTAAATCGTCTTTAAGTCTATTAATTATTCGTAAACTTTGTAGTTGTCGAAGGAAAACAGTGTTGGTATGTAATTGTTTTATTTTTCACAAAGGTTTAGTAATATAACTCTGTCGCGGGTCATTAGTTAATAATCTAGTTCCAGACATTGTGAACATGGCGGTAATCCAAGAAGGTCGTAGGTATCAGAGGAAAATAACACAGGGTTCGTAAATGAAGGTTTTATCATGATCATAACATCTTCAGAATATGGCGGAGGTAATAAGACGAAGAGCTACGGACTCAGCGTATACGTGTACACTGTTGTTTATTGAACGCGAAAGATATGTACTGTAATATTTATCTTTATTGGTTTTTGTCTGTTGTAGTATTACAAAATAAATTGACTTTATCATCTTACAAACTTGTGTCAGTCTACTGAAAACCATGCTTCCAAGGCTCTTTTGCAGATGCCATACAAAATTTTCAATCTTGGAAGGAAGGCCAAAATTTATGTGGAACACCGCCACCTCCAGCCGCCACCACTAACTAGCATTTCTGTTGTACTTACAGCAAGAGTTTGGTCCACCAATCCTTGTGGTACAGTAGCCTCATATACGCATGCGTACTAGGTGAGTGTCCCAGTTACAAGAAACTTAATGTACTGTACGTCGTGACTGTAAGTAACCGATAGCTTCGTGTCTGTTTAAACCGAAGTTCAAACTTCGGGTTTCCCGACACGGAGGTATCAGTTACTTGTAAGTCGTGGCCGTAGGTAACTAATAACTTCGTGTTGGATAACCCGAAAAAAACTTCGGATTCCCCAACACGAGGTTATCGGTTACTTACTGTCACGACTTACAAGTAACCGATGCCTCCGTGTCGGGAACCCGAAGTTTGAACTTCGGTTTAAACCGACACGAAGTCATCAGTTACTTACAGTCACGACGTACAGTACATTAGTTTCTTGTAACTGGGACACAGTACATTAGATTTTTAGTACGCATGCGTATTAGAGGCTACTGTACCACAAGGATGGATGGACCAAACTATCGCTATAAGTATAAAAGAATTGCTAGTTAGTGGTGGTGGCGGGGAGGTGGCGGTGTTCCACATCAATTTTTGCCTTCCTTCCAGGGTTGACAATTTTTCTTTGGCCACTTCTTAAAACTGGTCATTTTCAAGGCATCTGAAAGAAAGAGATCGCAAATGAACATTACATATACAAACGTTTCCCGCCAAAAGACTTAGAAAAAAATTTATTATAAAATATGCTACCAAACGCGCATGCGTACGTGCAAAGTTGTGCCACAAGGACGAGAGCTCAAAACTCTCGCTATAAGTATAAAACAAATGCTAATTAGTGGTGGCTGGCGAGGAGGTGGCGGTGTTCCACATCCATTTTTGTTCTCTTTCCAATATTGAAAATTTTCCTCTCTGGTACTCATTTTTTTCAGGGCATCTGCAAGATTGTGTTTTGTCTTTCGCCTTTCCTCACATTGGTCATTTCAAAGGCATCTGAAATAGAAGAGAGTGATTTAAAACATACAAATATTTTCCACCAATTAAGAGACTTAGAATACTATTCCAAAAGAACATGATCGTAACAACTTAGTTAGAAGCTACTTAGATTTATAGAATACCTTCGATGACTTAAACGTAAACAATTCTCCAAATTTTAGATGCGCTTGTACTTCAGATGTTCCAAAACCGGCACAATCAAAACCGACTGTAGCGAGACACGTTTATTCACTTGAACTTCCATACTCTCATTGCGCGATTTCTCAGAAAGAATATTTTCTTTCACATGTAAATCTGCATGTAGCTGTCCCTGAACCGGCACGAATCAAAATCGATCGTAACGAAATTTGCTTTCATCTTTGTTCACGTCCAAACAGTACTGTTGACGTCTAATCAAGTTTACGCCCAAATATACAACAAAAGGTTTCAACCGGTTAAAATCTGTCTAGTTCTGTACCTTAACTTCCTTAAACATTCCTAAACTTGGGTTTGTTGAATGCCCTGATATGAACGAGATAAAATTACGCATAGCAAATATATAAACAATACGACTTACCAGAGTTTGCCCATCGCGTTCACAGGATTCTTTCGATAGCGTGCATGATGTCCTTGAAGTCCATCTTCGCGAACTTTGAAGCTGCTCGCTATTGAAGCCTAAAGGAAGCAAAAAGTAATAAAAAGAAGTCAATCTTATTCCACTGTCACTGTTAATTTTCTGTATAAATTAAAGTAAAAGACAAGAATAAACGCAAATAAGAAGCAAATTGTGCCGTTCTTATGTTCTGCGATAAACATCATGCTTTCTTTTGCACAACAACGCAATAAGCTAATTTTTTTAAATATATATTTATATTTTCCAAAGCGCAAATAATCAGCTCTTTCTTAACCCTCTTTACGAGCAATAATGGTAAATAGTGATAAAAATTGGATTCTGTTATCGCAGAAGGTTGCGATAACCGTAAATATGACAAATTTACAATCATTTGCTTGTTCCACGTTTTACATACTTCAAAGCTGAGAATAATAAATGTTACGTCTCTCGCGAGACAAAATTTTCCCCAAATAAACAAAAAAAGAAAACAATCAACCACAATAGTATTATTTTGTGTTCGCTGTTAAGGTATGTCACGCTGACCATTAGTGCGCGCCAATCGTATGGTTTTGTAGTCAAGTTTTCGGCGCAAAAATTCGTTAAGTCGAGTTGGCGCAGTGGTTTGGTGCGCGCCTCTCGCTTCAGGATTAAACAGAGTCCCGATTTCGACTCCCGGTCCTGGCATACAGAAGATTTTTTTTTCCTTTTTAAAACCAGAAATAAATTGACCAAACCTTCCTCGTGTACCAATTTTTAAAAAATCTATTTTACAGTGCAAAAGCCGATCGAAGGAAAAAGAGCAAAGAATTCATAGTAATATGTATTTTACGTTCAACCAATAAATAAACATACTTTCTACATGGATGGGAAAGAACGCCGATATGACTTCTCCTGCCTAAACCAACTTGCTTAAGGGTTCCAACACTTTTATAGCTCGATGTATTCGATATTCTTTATACTATATACAGCTGCTTGTAGCAAAGTTCAGCTGCTGTCGTAGTGTTGGTGTAATGACCGGCTTCGTTGTTCTTAGTTAATACGTTGTGACATTTCTCTGACGTGTTGCAACCTGAATTATGTGCGCACTAATTATCCATAACAAGTCTCATAGAAGCTTTAAAGGTTGCTTCACACTTTCTACAAAATCAATCAAATGGCGGTGCCGCCGCCAAAAATCACTCGCGCGCGAATCCCGCCAGCCACGCAGGCTATATATGGTTCTGAAGATATAAAACAGAATATTGTACTCTGGTCTACACAGTAGCATTGATATGTTATTTTGAAAGTTCTCAAACTAAATTGCAATTTCAACCAACACTGACCGTTTCGACTCCCGATCGCTGTTACAACCAAACCAAACGCCGGTGAAGTATAATGAACGTACAGTAGAACCACAAGTACGCATAGCGGACCTATTCGTAGCCATTTAAGCCTGTATTCTAGCGAAACCAATTATTTTCACGCTTAACATCTTTGTTAAGTTGAACATCTTTGGTTTTCAAACCTGTGGAAGGTAAAACCATTATTTAAAAAGGGTTTTCTTTTCATATGGGGATTGGTACTAACGCTAGCTCAAGAGCAATTTGTATCATGCTGATACAGACAGTCTAACTTCAAAACCAGGCAAGTTTTCTCTTTTGAACTGTTTTGATGTCAAGACCACTTTATGTTAAGCGAAGCGACGGGCGTTTTGTTGGCGCTGGTTTCATCAGATAAAGTTGTTTTGTCACATACATGTAGTTAAATTGGTTTCTTCTGATTCAGAGTCAGACAACAGTGTATCAAAATATTTATCAAACTTTCCGCCGGAATATGGCCGTTTCTCACATCTTGGAAGATGTAAACAACTTAATGCAAATATTTGAACCCGCACTTTGAGACATTGACACACGAGCACAAGTTCTTGAGACGTGATAGGTGTTTACTTCGCAGCACATCTTTGTTCATCGCATGGCCATTTTGGTTGAGTTTTCTCCGTGTTTGGTTCGTTCGTTTATGGTATTTTTAACTTTCGTTTGTTCACGACTTAAAGTAACAAATTACAAGCTCTCGAAACAACCGGACTTTGCCGAATAAATGAAACAGTTCATATCATGACGATCGTTGTTATGATTTTACATGTCGTTTCTGTTTTCGAAAGCGGCAAACGTGTTTTGTTTTGGATCGTGTATAATAATTATAGTATGAAGGCTTTATAGAACTTCATTTGAGTTGTATTTATCAATCATCAGGGCATCAAAAAATAATAATCGCCAAACTTCTCGTCGAAAGATAGCTATCTCTCATGATTGTTTTG